CACCTTGTATCAAATTTAACAAGGAAACGCACTCATTATTCATTATTTAATTTAATTGAATTAATAGGGTAATTCATATAACGTAAATGAGCGGTGGCGTTAATATATTTATATAATATTAAATATTCTTTATCTATCAATATTCCCATTGCATATTATTAATACGTGTATTAACATTTAAAATATTTAAATATTTTATAATTATTATAATTATTACAAAATTTAAAATATTTTATTATATTTTTATTACTATTTATTATAATAATATTTTAAATATTTTTGTTACTATTACTAGCATTTATACGTTTCAATCGTTTCCCCAACGAAAAAATTTAATTCGTGAAACCATAAATAAGTATATAGTTAAATTATTTTAAGTTTTTTTTTTTTTTTTTACTTTATTTCGTTGAACAATTAATAATTCGTTTTATTAATGAGTCAAATGTACATTATTCAGTAATTATATTCAATTATAGATTATTCATTTATTTACAATCAATTAATTACTTTATTTAGGCTCTTTAATTTCATCAATCAAATAAATTATATAAAATGTATAAAATAGTAAATTAACATATAAAAAATGTAAATAATAAAATATGTGATATTTGTAATGGGTAATTTTTACTCTTTCTCTTAATAATGATGTTATGAATTATATAATTTAATTAACTTCTAATTTAATTCGAAATTAGACTTAATCAGAGAATTCAAGAATTTATCCATAATTGGTTTTGATCATTTATCTCGGTATGCTGGCTAATTTTCATTATCCCACATTAGGTTATAGACTGATCACATATTTTAAGTTTTATCATAACATTATGTATATTAATAGTTAACTATTATTCTTATTTTTATTATAGTAATATAAAAGAATACAAAGTAGAAAGAATATAAAGCATTTTTTTTTTTTATTTAAACAAAGAGAATTATAATATACTGTATTTGTATTATATTATTATTATTGTTGTAATTATTCTAGTTTCTATTCCCGTAAATCTTTTAAAGATTTTTCTCAAAGAATAATTAATGTGATTAGTGTGACATATCGATTAAGAAGAATAACCCCAAAAAACTTAGAAAATACTTGTGAAAAAGAAGGTCAAAAATTAATGTAAATTAATGCGATAAAAGAAGAAATAAAAAGTTATTCAAGTGTATCAACGAATAATTACCTAAATATTCTAGATATTCTGGATATGTATGTATGTAATGTAAAGGATTATTGTTTCTAAATTAAAGTATAATGTTTAAAAAATAATACATATGGTTTTTTTTTATTTCCTGTGAAAAGTGATACTACTTTCCCATTTTTCACCAATAAGCGAAGGAGTAACGAAGAAGCAATGAGGGAGCAATAGAAATAGAATAAAAAATGTACTGAAAAAAAGATACGTACGTAAGACAAGAAGATAGAGAAGGATAAAATGAATTTATCAAATGTACAACAATAATAAATAAATGAAATGGATTTTTATCTGTATACTCAAAATATACTCAAAAATATACCGAAATATACCTCAATGACTTTTGTAATGACTGGAATCGGAAAAACTTTGGAGGTAAGACAGGATTAATTACTCAAGTTGGTTTGGTGGTTGTTGTTCTTTGGTGGTGTCGAAATGGTGTTCATGTTTATTTATTTACAAAACAACGTTAATTTACGTAATTTGAATTTATGTAATTTATGTGATTCATGCAATTTAATTAATTTATTTATTTGATTGATTGAAAATTTTTTATACCACACAAATCCAAAACACACGCTCACATTTAAAATTACTTTTCTAATCGTATTTCTTCTTTACCACGCGTTCTTTTTTTCTTTTGTCTTGTTTATTAATTTATCTATTGAGTATCATTACAAATATTACAAATGGAATAATCTATTCACTGCGTGGTGGTGTTTTGGTGTGGTAGAACAGAAAGTAGATCATATTCATACCTAATAATTCTAATAATTTCAATAATTCTGATAATTCTGATAATTCTATTAACTAATAATTCTTTGTTTAAAGTATACCTGATTTCAATAAAATAAAATATGAAAATATGGATTAAATATTGATTGAATATTGAATATGATTTAACTATATTAACTTTCAAAGTTAACTAACTACAGTATCGGTGATAACGTATACAATAAATAAAATAATACAATAGTGACTAAAACAAAGAATATATTATGAATAGTAGCCAAAGAATTTTTTTTTTTTTAAGGGGTTTCTTCTTTTTTTTTTACCAAGTTGAGTTTAATGAGAATAATTTCTTTGTCTGTATTCCCATTCAAAGGATCCACTGTACAGAAATAATTAACAATCTATTTAATTATGATCTCAGACATGTGTGTGAATTATTATTTATTATTATTTATTGTTATTATCAAATCATTCCCAACCATTCTATTCGTGAAAGAGGAAAAAAAAAGTATGTATAATATACGCCAAACAGGTAGAATTTAGATTTTTTTTTTCTTTTTTGGGAACAGCGAAATTATTTGATAATATTTTAAATGATTGATAATATTTTAATGATTGATATTATTGAAATGACTAATCAACACACACAAGTTGAAACTAGTGAAACAAGTGAAACTGGTTAATTACTAAAATTTCGATCCCCCCCTTAAAATACGTTCACATTTGTTTAATATTTTAATAATATTCACCGAATGTTCTTTGTTATATAATAAAATAAAATAAAATATAATATAATATAATAAAAATAATAAAGAATAATAAAATATTATAAAATATTATTATAATTATAAAATAAAATATAATGAACGTAATGGAAATTGAGAAGGAAATGATTAAATAATGAAATACGTATAATAAAACATGTATATGATATTTATGAAAAAGAATGAATTTACAATAATCACATAATAATCACATACTAATAAAATCAAAAAAAGATGCCCTTTATAGGCGTAAAAAAAGGGATAGAAAATTAAATAATTACGGCAATTAAAGAAATAATGAATGCACATGCGAATGTTGTATGTAAGTTAGATTGAATAATAATAATTGAATAAGGTAAATTTGCTTATCAAACAATAGATTCAATATTTCGATATTATAGCTTTGATGATAATAATAATGATAATAATAATAATGATAATAATAATGATAATAATAATAATAATAATGATAATAAATAATGATGATAATAATAATAAGGCTGAACGCACGGTTTTTTTTTTTAAAAAAAAAAACCTATTATGTATTTTGTTCATTTTGTTTTCGGACATTTTAAATTTATAACACGAGAAAAAATGACAAAAAAAAAGCAATCAATCATTCAGAATAAAGTACGTACACATGGAGAAAAACATGGAGAACGACATGGAAAAAGAGAATATATAATATGTATTGAATTTGATATTGTTTTAAACATGCAGATATAACAGAAAGTTGGATGATAATAAATATAATAATTGTGATATATTGAATGTTATAAAAATAACCTCTAAGAGAACAAAATCAACAAATTATAATATTTTGATAATATTAAAAATATCAAAACTATTTATTTATTAAGAATATTTTTTAAACAATGGATTGGATTAATAATAATTATTATTAACTGCTTAATTATTGATTAAATTAATTATCATCTTTATATCCATCGCCGATGTTTTTGTTGTTGTTGTTGTTGAAAAATATTACAAATATTAAAATATTTACCCGGGTTTTAATGATTTTAATTATTTAAAATTTTCCTTCTAACTTTATTTATTTCAAAATAATATAAATTCCGAAATAAACAAATAATAATAATACAAGTAATAATAATCATCATAATAATAATAATTACGTAGTTGTATGCAAATAGTATTACAATATTAGATAAATATTTTTATTTATATTAAAAAAAATGTACCTGTCAACGAAATTTAATCAACAAAAAAAAAATAACAAGTTTTTATTTATTTTTATTTATCTCCTTCTTCCTAAATAAATGATAATCATAAAAAATTACATAGTAAATATAAGTATACAAAAAAGAATAAAATTGGCTAAGACAAAATCTACCAACCTCGACTCTGAAAGGAAATCCATTCAAAGGACAATGTGTCGCAACCCCCTACTGCCGTCTAAATTTTGAAATATAGTCGCAACCCCTACTTCCGTATACCTCAATTTTATCAATTTTTAAATAAATGTTACATTTATTTCTTTTCCTCTTATATAATATATAATAATCCCTTGATTAATTAATTAATAATTGTTGTCCTCCTACAGAAAAACCAAACATTTGCGATAAACCGTTAGTATTTGGTTTATAGAACAACCTTTTTACGGGTTGAGCGTGGTAGGCCACAACGCCAGGTTTCCCTGACTCAGGTGTTTGAGCAAGATGTTTCTTGCTCCGTTATGATCCCTATCAATCTTAAAACCACATGAATTGCGTTTGTAAATTTTGTCCACATGTCTTTGATATGTAATCTTCTTTGCATAATTATTAATATTCTTCCCGAATTTTCACACATCTTGTGTTCTAAAAACATTTTTAAACCTGTAATGAGCCCAGGTTATCATCTTTCTCGCGGTTTTGCTGTTGATTTTTCGTTTCATCCTGTTCGTCATTTCTTGGATTTCGAATTCGGAAGTAGGATGAATTTGAAATTTTCACAAAGATATTTTGCAAATTTCTTGTGACAATCATCAATTAACCTTTTTGTGAATTTTTTCATTTTTCTTTTGATTTTCTTTTGTTTATTTTTTCTTTTAATAAAGATTTTTCGCTTTGATATTTGTAATATCGTTTTGATAACCTAAATGTCTTTTGGATGACATTTTTTCCACATTCAATTATATTTCCTTTTGGATCATACTGGTCATAAAGGTGTGAACACCTGGATCTAATGATATTATATCATTATTTTCTTTTGTAAATTTTTTACATGATATTGGTATACAGATATGAAATTCATTTAATTTGTTTCTGGTGAATGTTTAATAATTGTAATTTTTCTGATGTTTTGATACTTCTTAAAAATGAAAAATGTTTGCTTCTTTGTCTGTAAAATCTCTTGCTTTTATAGTTATTGAATCTTTCCCATTTTTTCTTGCTTTTGATTTGATTTCAAATCTTTTTTCTTGCTTTAAATTTGTATTATATGCTATGAGTAGTTCATTTAATGCCTCGTCTCTTATACCATCTGGTGTTTCTGTAACCCATTGGTTTTGTGTTTCAAAATTATTTTTATAAATTACTAATTTTCTTAATGTTTTTCGTGTTCCTTGTTTAATTAATTTTAATGCCTGGTTGTATGTCCATCTTGCCGTACCCATCCATCAATAATTTTTCTTTTTGCTCTTGGTTTGGGTACATTCGAATCTTTTGAACTTTCAATGGACCATCCTCCAAAATTTCCATTTTAACATCTTTTTTTTTTCTTAATCTTCTCGTGTTCTTCTTTCTTATTTAATATGACTTAAACTGTTATTCTTTGTTGTGAACATAAAAGATCATCTGTTGTGGGTCTGGATCCGATATTTTGAAATTAATATGAATCTGGCATTGAGTTCATAGGATTGTTAGAATTTGGTGATCGATATCTCCCTGGTATGTGGGTTCCAGAATGGATATCGATCAGAATCTCTTTCTACTAGGGATTGTAATGTACGAGACCCTTCTGCCACCATACCATCTTCTGAGGGTTGTGCATGAGACATATTTTTTGTATAAAATAGAAATTGGAATTTAATCAGTTAATTGCGATTAAAGTAGTCTGTTTAAATTTAACCGGTTAAAGTATATAGTTAAGGTTAACCGGTTAATTGGTTAAATTTAATATTTAAATAAAGAAAGAGGGGGAGGAAAGAGAAAAAGAGAGAAAATAGAAAGAGTGGGGAAAGAGAGAGAAAGCGGATAAATTTTTTAAAATATATTAATCAAGTAATTAACCGGATATTTCAATTTCTAGAGTAAAGAATTTAAAATTTAAAAAATAATTTGAAAAAATAAATTTAAAAATGTATTTATGACATACTGGAGTGTTAACATAAAACGATACGTTGTTGAATTCTCTCCTTTATAACAAATTGTAATTTTTTACTGTTTGATAAAATCATGAGTGATCTAACTGACTTTGTTTATCTAATAAAGATTTAATAAATTTAACTATGTATTTCATCGTTATTATTATCAAGTTTATTATTTAACAATTATGGAATCATAATTTTCTATTCGTTCGTCCAATTTTGTCCATCTAATAAAATCTAATAAATTTTATAAAGGTCTCGACCATTTTATCGTTATTATTATCAAGTTTATTATTTAGCAATTATGGAATCATAAGTAAGGGGGTTTAATAAATTTTATTGATCGTTTCAATTACAATTTTTTTTCTTGAGCAATTAAATATCGACTTTAAGAATTTTATTTTTTTCTTTTAACAAAGAATATATTCAACAGTATATTCAACGATATATAGAAGAAAGCCCACAAGTATGAGTAAACCTTTTATGGTTAATCATTTATCCGGCAGTAAAGAAGGAGGATTTTTAACATTATGTGTTTTAGTAATGAACATGCAAGCGGTATACGATACAACAATTCTTTGAACATCCATGGGGGTAAAAATTATATTCAAATTAAGTTTTAAATTAAGTCTTAAATTAAGTTTTAAATTAAGTTTAATTAAGTATGTTGATTCATTACTTTTTTTTCTAAGCCTTTCAAACTACAGTAAAAATAGATCGGTAATAATTAATCCCAAACCCATTAATTTGGTTAGTAAAGTTGAATCACCTCTTTATGACGAAAGTATTGGAACCCCTGAAGAGAGCGTTCGTCGTAAAGGTATAATTTTCCAGGAATTTCGCTTAAAGAGATGTTTGATATTAGTTATGCTGTACATCGTATGGGAGAGGGAAATGCACGAAAAAAGAAAATCAAAGGACTGGAAAAGAGTGGTGGTCTTAATCCATTTAAAAATCAACATAATAATCTTAACGATGATTTTTCCAATGAAGCACCGAGATCAAGTGAAAAAATTATATCTGTCGCAAATGAACCCATAAAAACGATTTCTTCCAATAAACAACAACATAAAGAAGGAGTACATAGACGTAAGGGTTTTGATCTGAATTTAGAAGTTGCAACATTAAGGCGTAAGGCTCTAGTCGAACCTAAAGGCATCTGATTTCGTAAGTAAATAAAAATGAGCATAAAATATGATATTTATTTATAAATAATATGTTGATCAAATTTTTATAATATCCGACTCATGCATTGTTGAAGAAATATCATTTCATTTGGGTCGAATTTACGAATTTATTTTATTTATCAAATTTAAATCTGGACGAAAACATGAAACAAGTGATTGATTTTTGCCTGAATAAACATTCTGAACATTCCAAAGGCATTTTTCAAGAAATGATCAAATTTAAAAAAATATGATTTCTTTGAAGCAAAAAAAAAATATTGTATATATTAAAAAAAGAAAGCTCATTGAATAATCATTCATTTTACTGTCTTCGGTATAATATTTAATGGCACAATAAATCTAGACTTCATAAACGATCAAATATTTAGGAAGAATTGCCTAATAATAATAATAAATAATAATATAATAAGTAATAATAAGTAATAATAAATAATAATGATAATAAGTATAAAATAAAAAACAAAAACTTTTTTTTTAAATATTTTGTTATTGTTATTATTATTTTACCTCTTCGTTTCCAACAATATAACAACTTTGGAATGGAGTCGCATCTATAACATCCATCATAAAAATTGCTCCAAATTTGGAGGTTGGGTAAATCTGACCAGGAACTGAAATTATTCCTGTATAACCATGAGAGACATGTGGTAATGGTGCAAACCAAATAAATCCTATTCAAATAATTATATATATTTTATTTTATTATTTTTCTCTGATTTCGATAAAGAATACTTTGTAGAATACTCTCGTACTTAAATATTATATATATAATATATAAGAGATTTTACTTACTTCCATTACCATTATTATTCGCCATGGTTAACTTCGGACCATTTTTAATTATACCACAGACCCCACATTTAAGATGGGAACATAACATCTCGGTACTCTTCAAATCTTTAATATTACAAGAATATTTTGTGCCATGATATAATAGCAATTTGCTATAATTCATTTTTTGTTTCTTAAAATTTTCAAATCGATTCATAAATTGATTTGACATCTTGATCTTTAAAATTGAATGAATTTTGGGTAATGTACGCTGGAATTGGGTTCTGAAATTTGCAGAAACTGAATTATATTCTGGAGAATTCGTAACAAGAGGAGTTATTGAGGAATTCATTTTTCTTTTAATGTGAAAATATGAAAATATTGAAAATATTGAAAATATTGGCAATTATGATATTCAATTTAAATGTTTTATTAAATCTTTCTTTTAACTATTTTAATTTTTTAGACTATTACTTTTTAATGACAAAATGAAAACGCATGATAAAATAATTTTTTAGTTGAATTGATGACTACACTACTTTGATTAAAAAATGATCTAATCATTTTGCCATAATAAATTGATATTTAAAGAACATTCGCCTAAATTACTAATTATTATTATATAATTTCATTTTTATTGTTGCGACTATCTTTGAAGAATCTTTTTATGGTATGGTTATTACAAAAATATATTTATATAATTTTATATATTCAAAAAAAATTACATGACTTTCTAAAAGTGAAAGTGATCAGAGATTTTCGCTTCAGTAAAAAGTTAAAAATGATTTCAAAGTTACAAACCAATCAAAAAAAAAAGTTATTTTTAACAAAAGTATAATAATCATTTACTTGTCTTAAGAAAATAAGTGTCATTGAATTGAATTTTTAGTAATCAATCAATTATGAAAAAAAACAATGCCGTGTGTATTTATTAATATGATGATGATCAAAAAGCTTATTTTATATTTATTCTATTTACAATAAATTAAAAACACATCATATTTGTAATTTCAACAATAATATTATTATTATTAATAAATAAGCATCATGGGTAAGAAGAAATTGAAAAGACCGAGACAACCTTCAAAGTTAGTTCTTTTTTTTTTAATTAAATAAAAAGGAGTTACAAAAGCAGGAAACGATAATATTACTCATAATTTTACCTTAACAATAATAATAATAACGATAATAATAAAATAGACTTAAATCTTTGCATCTAACTCCAACAGGAGAAAGTGCCTTAGAAAAATCGGGACCTGTTTCTGTGGCAAAAATTATTGATTATAAATATGAGATGGATCAAGATTGGTATATGCTAAAATTTAAAGGTATGCAAGCGATAACACATTATTTCAATTGTTTCTTTATTTAATTTAAATATTTGTTATTAAAAATATTTATTGAAAATATTTATTCTTTAAAGACCAAAAAAAGCAACCACAATGGCAACAATATAGGAATCTTTATGGAGTAGATGAGATGGTTAACGACTATTGGAAACGCGAAAAACAAAGCGCGTTTCCTACCCCGGGACCTTTAGGCGTAACTAAAAAGTTAATCGATAATAATGACAATGATAATAATAATAACATAGATCCAATCATCGAAAACACAAATTCAATCACAATGACTGAAACAGATTCGAATATTGACGTTGAAACTTGTTTTGAAGTATGTCAAAAAAAAAAAATGGAAAGGATTGTTGCGAAAACATTTATTAACAACATTTTAATATAAATATAATATATATATATTTATTTATTTATTTATTTTAATTATTATAGAAATATCTCTTGGCTGAGAAAAACTCGATTTCGAGTTCCTTTGATAATGATTCATCCGGAATGAGTTTTCAACAAGATTTAGAAGTATGCAATGAACTATTCAAAAAGATTAAGTTATGTATATCATTGTTTGGATCCTTTGGTAAATCTAATTTTTCTACAACATGATCCCAGAATTTTCTTCAAGTGAATAAAGATGAATTCTTGAATTCAATTAGTAAAGACAACACAGATCAAAATAATAATTTTCCTCTAACGAATAAAGAAGAATCCTCGAGTTCAATTAATAGCAAAAACACATGTAAAAATCGGTTTAGTGAATCGCCAATGAAAATTAAATGGAAAGGAAATTTAGTTAAAGGAAAAAACAAATTATCAATAGGAAATATTATTGTAAAACCTTTCTCGCAACGTTCAGATAGTCTATCTTTGTAAGTATTGTACTTTAATTTTTATTAATTAATTTATTTATTTATTTATCCATTATTACATTTCCATTATTTTTTCTCACATTCGTTTTCATTATTTAGTTTTCAAATATTTAATAAAAACGAACCGTTGTGGATGAAATATTTTATATCGCTAACCTTTTCCGAGGATATTATTGAAACTTTACAGGCTTTTATATTTTTATTCGAATCTTGTGAAGAAGAAATTCCGCAATCTTTATCAAATTTAAATGCAGAAAAAAATTTTATGGAATGGAATGACATAGTAATCTACCGTTCAAATTTTTAATTTTTTAATTTTTTTTTTACATATAATTACTAAATTCTAAATTCTCTAGGTTGGAGTAATTATGATCGATAAAAACCATTCTTGTTTATTGATTTTTCCAAATACAAAAAAGATTCAACAAAAATTAGAAAAATTGGGACTTGATTTTTCGTTGAATGACGAACAACTAAATAATAAACCTTTCTTTGCAATACATAAAATAATATCCACCGCTATTTACCAAAATATTCTTGACACAAATGAATTTGAAACTTCCAAAAATCTTAAAGATTTGAACTTATTCAATAATGGCTTTCCAAATATTTCAATGTATCATGATAAACTTTTAGAACTCTGTGCCAATAATAAACCAAAATTTATAAATTTTTCTCCAAAAATTAATTTTGAAAAAGATGAAATTATAAATGTTATGGAGAATCTCGGAGCAAAATATCAAACACATTATAGTGAAGATGTCAAAATGGTTTTGGTAAATCTTTTAATGCCATTATTTTTATTTATTTATTTAATTGATTTCTTTTTATTGCACTGCTAAATTTTCGTGTCAAATTCTCAGATACATGTTCTTTACGAAAAACAAATCAATTTTATGCCGTATTTAATGAACCTTAAAGATTTGACCGAATGCATATTCGTTTTATATAAACCTAAAGATGTCGAAGTAATATTACAGCATGGTAATTGAATCAATAATTTTTACTTTCAATATTTTTTTTATTTATTACATACATTTTTTTCGTACATTTTTATTTTATTTTAGGAGGTTTTGTAACTATCACGACTTTGGCATTTTCGACCGAAAAAGATGTTATCGAACGAGTTATAAATTTATTTAATCACGTGAGTGTACTCCAGTTTCATTTTCTTTAAAAAATATATATATATATATATAAAATGGTTTAAAAAAATGGTTTATCTCGAAATAGCAAACCAAATTATATCCAAATTCCAGATGGGAAATAGTCTTAAATCCATATATTAAAGAATATTTGGCACAAACTTCCAATCTCCAAAATATTTATAAACAAAAGTAAGATAAAATTTCTTTTTTTAAATGTATAATGTGAATATGTAAATATGTAAATATGAACAATGATGACTTGAAATACTTGAAATTATAATTTTTTAGCGCGAAATTATCATATTTGACAATTTTGTTGTGTAAAGAGAAGAAATATATCAGATACTTTAGACCTAAAGAATTTCCAAGAATATTCAATGTAAAATTTTTTTCATTTTAAATTTAGAGCGCGTTCTATTTATTGAGCTTTGTATTGACCTGATTGTAATTTCTAGTCTTCTAAATTCATTACTACTTTGAACACTCCACCCTCGATGATAAAATCTTTGCACTTTACAATGATCAAAATGCATCAGAATAATTGGAAAACTCATCGACATTATGTCGTGATTTGTGCAGACAACGAAAAAGAAATGGATCCAGTTCCTATCGAAGGAGTAAGCAATGTTACATATTTACTAATAAATTTCTTTAATAATATATTTTAATTTCTTATAAATTTTTATTGGAGGAAATTATAGGTATTAAGACTGAATTTAAGAGAATTTGAAATGAAATTTGGTTCGAATAATAATAATGTATCGGCATAAATGAAATAATGATCCTGTAAACTAAAGAAAGATTATAATCTTTTTCCTTTTCACTATTTTTTTTTTGGCTACACTTTTGCATTTTGTAATACAGTAAAAAGAAGTTAACATGTGCAATAAGTAAATAACAATACACATGACTGCATTATTTTTCATTTCTCTTTATCTTTTCCATTTCTGTCATCATTTTCTTTATGATGTAATCTAGAATCGTAGTACAACCACTCGGTAATTGACAGTGAATTGCGAACAATGAAAATAAATTAGTGTCATGTATAAATATCCTTTTTTTTTTTAAAAAAAAAAAAAAGAAAAGAAAATTATCTCTTTAACTAGATACCAGAATAAATTTTGTTTGTTTCGAAGTCTTATTTATTTATTCTATTTTAATTTGTTGATTCGTTGTATCACAATAAACGTAAAAAATAATTAGCCACATTGTAAAAATATAAGCTCAATCACGTATGCTTCATATATATTAGCTTTTTAAACAAAATATAAATACGAATTTCTTTATATATTGATTTTTTTTTATTTGGCTTTCTGAAAGAAAATTTACAATTTCAATCTTATGTAAATTCATATGTAAATTCATATGTAAATTCTCCACTAATATTAACTCGGCAAACAACTATTACAAATAACTAAATTTTTACAACTCAATATTCCATAATATAACTATTATATATATATATATCATCAGATTATATTATTTGATATGAACACACCTTCATCACCTGTAACAACAACATCACAAAATTTTGTTACCTCAGAAACAACAACATCCGAAAATCCACCCACAGCCGTTATAATACTTGTTGTTATTCTTATTGCATTCTTGATTGGAATAATAGCAATTTTTCTTGCTTTATCCATATTTCATAAACATAATAAAAACAAAACTAGAAATGCAATAAATAATTTAGAAAATAATAATGACAGTAGTAACAATATTAATAATTACAATAATAATGACAATGTCGTTAATGTCAATAATGGCAATGAATTCATTGGTTCCAGCAATTTAAATAATAATTTAATGAACATTCCAGTACCCTTAAATATTATAGAAGAAAATGAAAGAGGTTTCTTACATACACCAACTACTGAAGAACTTGAAAAAGAAAATATAATTATACCCAATTATGATCCTATAATCCAAAAAAAAGTAAAAAAAAGTAAAAATAAACAAAATGTAAACATTCAATCATTGAAGAATAGAGATGAGAAGATAATTCAATCAAATAATAATGATGATGATGATGATAATAATAATAAGGATTTTGATGAAATTGAGATTGATGTGATTGAGATTGATAAAAATAATAATAATATTATTAAATCAAGTAAAGATAAAAAATTAAGAAAGGAAAATGAAGAAATATTAGAAACAAAATTGGATATTGAAAATAATGATGATGAGGGTAATAATGATGATGATGATCTGGATTATAATGATTATTTAAAAAAACATGGTATATAGAAATCATGTTTAATATAACAATTGTTTTTTATGTAAATATATATTCTTTTGAGAAGAATAATAAAATTCCATGTTGAACTTGTAATTCATAATACAGTCAACTCTCTATAAATGCACTTCCATGGGAACCAGGATTAACATGCATTTATAGAGGGTAATTTTATAAGTATTATTAGTGGATGGGACTGGAGCACAGGGTGCATTTAAAAATTATAGAGAGTGCATTTATAGAGAGTTGGCTGCATATAATACATAATATAATAATATCTTTAGATATAATTAATTAATTTTAATTTGTAAATTTAATTTCAAGTAAATTTAAATATTAATTACATACTTAATATTTTTAATATTTTAAACATTTTTAATACTTTTTTTAGTATTTAAATAAAAATATTGCATATCTTCAAATACTAAAATACTAATAAAAAATGAAATTTTTGTTATTTTTCAGAATCTTAATTTTTTTCCTTCAAAATGAGAAGTTTTTTTAACTTGTGTCAATGATAAAAATTTTAAATAAAATGTGAGACTTTTGAACAAAACTATTTTAATACATATTAAATAATGGTCTCTTCATATCGAGATGAACATTTTTTTTTGACTCTGTATAACATAATATCACTAATTTAATTATTATACTCGTTCAGAAAAACAAATAAAAAAAATTTTTTAATTTTTTTCCAGTTATAATTTATCCAATTAAGAGCTGAGTCGCAACATTGTATTGGTATTCCATTAATAGAACGCATTATAATGCATTATGGTAATTATGGTATCTACATTATATGAATATTTATAGTTTTTAATATTCTTTATTGATTAATTTTTCCTCATCCTAAGATTAACTTTCTTTATTGATTAATTTTTCCTCATCCTAAGATTAGGAACAATAACTTTCTTTATTGATTAATTTTTCCTCATCCTAAGATTAGGAACAATAACTTTCATAATAATTTACTTTGCCATATCAGATAGTTTCCCATTATTTCCATAAAGATCCATTGTACCATTATGAAAATAAACCTTAAGTAAGGAGATTTCGAAAAAAGAATCTCAAAATGTCCAACAAAATGTCATTAGGCTAAATAGAAAACCAAATTCCGATTAGATTATTTACAATTGTATCTAAATTTGGCAAATTAGGTCAATTTTTAGGTGTAATATTAATAGAATTCTTTAAATTTATTCTTTAGGTGTAATGGAATTTTCTTTATTTCAATTTAAATAGCTATAAAACATGAAGAAAAAAAGGAGAGCCTTCTTTTTAAATTCATTGCTTTTTATTAGGTTCATTACCTTTATTCATTTCATTTATTCGTTTGATTATTATTATTTTTTATTATTTTTGGAATCCAAAATTTAGTTAGCATCAAAAGAATCATATACAGCATACATTTATAACGGGAGAAAAAGATGAATAAAGGAAAGAAATTAAATTCTTCCAACGGTAATTATTATTCAAAAATTTCTTATAACTTTCGAATTTCATAAACAGTGTACACATGCTAGGCATAAGAATAAAATAAAGCGAATTAAAACAAACTAAACCAACGTAAAGCATATAAAATAAAATTAAACCAAAATAAAAGAAATTACTTTTCTAAAAAAAATAGATATACAGTACATCCCAGCAGCTATTTCTTCAATTCGTCCAACGAGAAATTCTAAACTTAATTTTCTATACGATTATGTTCAAATATTTTCAAGACAGTTTTCTTTCGAAAAGTAGAAGAAATGCCTTCTACTTAATTTCAATAATAATTATCTGTTTTGTGTACTGAAAATTTTTTTTTGTATAATTTCTTTAGATTTAAACGTCGCAAAATCAATAATTGATGATCAAAAGGACGAAATTGAAGATCTAATAGAACAACTCTCAAGTTTGGCCATTAAAAAAGATTCGTTGGAACAAAAACTTCAAAGTAATTATAAAGAAATATATAAAATATATGATTACCTGAATTATTATTTCTTTTTCTCTGAACCTAATTAATATATTGATTGTAGAAAAAGATAATGGAAAGAAAGTTTTAAGATCACTCCCAGGTAAATATTATCATTTTCGTGAAATTATAAAAAAAATATAAAATTTACAATTATTTAATATTAATTTACAATAATTTGTTTATTATATTAATTTACATTAGAAATTGTAACCGATACAAAACTTTTTACCGAAATAATTAGTAAAAAACTGGTTCAATTTACAGAATGGTTTGACATTTTAAATGAAACCTTTATTCCCGAAATTCGATTCAAGAAAAAAAAAACTTTTGATCTTGAAGATGAAACCCAGGATTATTTTATGAAAGAAATTAATCGTCTTACTTCAAATCCATTAATAAAATATCAGATGAAAAGAAGAGGAATTGCTTTAAATAAGAAAAGACCAGACATTACATTCTTCCCTAAAAATCGCCATCAAATAGTTAATAATTTAGTGGGTGTGGTAGAAATTAAACGACGAGAACTAACTCATAAAACTTACGGACAAACAATTAATTATGGCATACAAGTATTAAATGTACAACCATTCAGAAAATTTGTTTACGCAGTTTTAACAAATTGTAATTCAATTGTGTTTTTTAAGATTTCGAAAGTGAATACGGATGAAGTGTTTTGTGAATACACTCCAGAATATAATTTAAATAATGGAGAAAAAGGTTGGAATTATTTAGTGACTTTATTGTTACAGAATCCTGAACAAAATGGATATAACGAAGTAAATTTTTTATTAATTCCCTTTGCATTATTATGATTTTGATTTTATTTCTTTGCATTAACATTCCAATTCTAATTCTCAAATTGCAACAGCTGGAAAAACGATTATTTTTTTGAACGGATAAGCTTTTGACAAAAATAACTTTATAATAATTTAGCATAAATTAGTTTTCCCCAAATGCGAATTTATTTGGGTAAATTGTTCATGCTAGCTTTAATTTATTTTTATAATAAATATTTGCATTAACTTTAATTATAGTTTATTTTTACATATCCATCGAATCGATCATGTATTACTTGTATTTTATCGTACATAAAAGGTTAAATTCATATTTATCTAATCAAACAATATAAAAAAAAAAAATCTACGATTAAAAAAATTCTTTGCCATGGTTTTATTATAGGTTTCACCAAATATAGAAATAAATTATAGTGAATTGTGCCAATGAAACAAATTATAATATAAATAATGAGGAGAAAGATGATGATATTGGGTTTTGATTTGCAATTTACAAAATCTATGGGGAATGAAAGATAGATTTGATTTAGTTATTATTATTACTATGACAGAAAATTATTAACGATGATATTAATATTAGTGCCATACATAATTATTTCTCTCAATTATCCATTTTATTAAATGTGTAGCAACAATATCTAAAAGTTGTAAAAGTGTAAAGTGAAATGTTTTTGTTTAATTTTAGAAAATTGCTTAAGATCACCAATGAGCTGACTATCGTATCATTTCAAAATATTAAATTGCGCTCAGTGCTTAAAGTGCTAATATGGTTTAGGGTAATTATTCCATAAAAAGTATTTCGTTTCCGCAAATAATTAATAATAAAGCAATTTTTTAAGTTTCATACAAGTTTCACTGCATAAATTATATTAAAGGAGGGAAAATTGGGAGAGAATTATAAAGAATTGACATAATCGTTTTCGTTTTAAAAACGTGTAAACATAAGCAATACGCGCCACCGAAACTATTTTATTCATTCAATTCTTTACATTAATCTGTAACTTGTTGTTCGCACCTTGCTGTTCCGTTAGCCATAATATTTTTCTTTCTTTACAACGATTCAAAAAGGTATAATTAAATTCTTTTTGTGGGTTTAAATGAATTGAAGATTTCTTTCTCTGAAACTCATTTTTAGTTTGTCTTCAGAATATATATAAATCCATCAATTCCTGTTAGCTTCCTATCTTAAAAAAAATTTAAAAATTACAACAACAAAATCAATTTATAACATCAAATTATTAAAAAAAACTTTTCAAAAATGAAATCATCTCTTATAATTCTCTTCACACTCGCTGTTTTCTTATTAGCCTCATTATCTGAAGCCAAAGAATGTATCCGTGGGTTGAACGCTAAAGATGCAGAAGACCTTCAAAAGAAATTTAAATCATTCACCAAGAATACTCCATGTAAACCTGACGAAACCGCTTGTATTGGTACGGCATTTGCCAAATGTTTCTCTACGGGGACTAAAAATGAATGGTCTATTCAACCATGTGCGGGCGGTTTAAAATGTGCAGTTCTTCCATTGGTATTGAAACGCGGTACTTCAATCACTTGTGATACTGAAGAAGATCGAGTAGCTCGTATTAAAGATGCTAAGGATTCTTGCAAACCAAAGAAAAGAGGATATCCCCCATCTTTATATTAGAAACCAATTAGAATTAGCATAAATTAAATTATTAATATTTAAAAAATAACGTTATATATTATATATTTATCTAACACATAAAGCAAAACTCCATATATATTTATTGTCTTAATTTTATAAAATTTGTATTGTTAAAGTTTTATGAATATCTTAAATTCATCACGTAAATAAACAAATATTGTTACTTCTTATAAACAATTTTTTTTGTTGCTTTTCGCAAATTAGTGATTTGATTTTTTTTTTTTTAATATAAAGATTATTTCTTTCATTTTATAAATTTTATAATGGAAATATTAAATATTAAGATTTTTGTATTGTTACACAGATTATACCTATATTAGAACTAAATTAGATAACAGAGAATAGAGAATAGGCACTCTCGCCAGCTTAAGTTGACTCTTTTTTTAATAAGGTATCGAAGAAGAATATTGCGAGCACCATTGATACCCCTGTCAAGCATTTTGCATTGGGGGCAGCAAATCCACCCAGTTTTTTGTGAATATAACCACAGGTATAGAAGGTATCAAAATTAGTTTTGCATTGCCAAAAATATAATTGCCGAAAATAATTTCGGCCATAATTATTTATATGCAAAATTTTTGTGTATTTTTTTCGATTTACGAAATATAGAGCGATTTTCTACTAAGGTATTTCTATGATAGATCGGAAGGATTTATTTTCGGTTACAAAATAGTATGTGTTTCATCCCGTAGTTCGAGTTATTACAATTTAAAGTAAACGTTCGTGGAGATTTTTTTGACTTTAACTGTAATAACTTAGTAGGGCCTTTCGATCTATAATAAAAAATATCTTAATAGGAAGCCGCTCCATATTTCATAAATTGCAGTGAAGTCAAAAAAAAATGTAAAAAATTGACTTTCAATGGTGGTGAAATAATTTCAGCATATAAAATAATTATGGCAGCCAGAATTTTTAAAAAATATTTTCAGCTGCCATAATGCTATGATGCTATAATTCCAGCACCAATAGAATCTATTGTGTATTCTTCTGTGCAAATAACTATTTGTCACCATGGATGCTCATGCGCCTTATTGATCAGAAGTTGTCAAAAGTGATAATGTGATCATAATAATATTACATAATTAATCTTTTAGCTAGCTTATAATGTCAATCATCTACAAGATCTACAAGACAACAAATCTTCTTATGATGTAACATGGATTCTATAATTAATATGTTAAATTATATAATATATTAATTAATTAATTATTATGGAATTTGTCATATTTATGACTTGGTCAATAAAATTTGACCAATATCATTCTACTTGGACCATAGCCAGTCATGAATGTATTACACATTATATATGTTATCAAAAGTCAAAAGCCTTTGGTCTATGTCAAATAATTGTGTCAATTACATCATTGCATCAATTTTTCATATGACTCAATTCCAATTTTAATTGCATCTGATTAAATTTAATAGTTTTGATAACATATATTATACATGTTGTCCAAATTATATGTGTTACCCAACCCCCAAATTACTAATATTTGGAATTTGGAATTTGGAATTTCAGCAAAAAATACCAATTATAATATGGAATTTAAATTTGGGATTTTAGCATTTGAAATTTGAATTTGGACAGCAAGTATAGTTCAAATTACAAGAAAAAAGATTTGAAATCAAATCAAGAACAAGAGAAAATGGGAAAGATTCAATGACTATACAAGCAAGAGATTTTACAAACAAAGAAGCAAACATTTTTCATTTTTAAGAAGTATCAAAACATCCGAAAAATTACCAATTATTATATTTAGGTTATCAAAAAGATATGACAAATATCAAAGCGAAAAATCTTTATTAAAAGATGAAAAAAATTCACGAAAAGATAACAAAAATATCTTTGTGAAAATTATAAATTCATCCTACTTCCGAAATTCGAAATCCAAGAAATGATGAACAGGATGAAACGAAAAATCAATAGCAAAACCGCAATAAAGATGATAACCTGGGCTCATTACAGGTTTAAAATGTTTTTAGAACACAAAATGTGTGAATATTCGGGAAGAATATTAATAATATGCAAAGAAGATTACACATCAAAGACATGTGGACAATGCGGGTACATAAAACATAACCTTGGTGGATCCAAAATTTACAAATGCAATTCATATGGTTTTAAGATTGATAGGGATCATAACGGAGCAAGAAACATCCTGAGTCAGGGAAACCTGACGTTGTGGCCTACCGTAAAAAGGTTGTTGAATGTTTGGTTTTTTTTTGTAGGAGAAAACTTCGAAATACAAGATTGATCGAAGATATTGATCAAAATATTTTTTGCATTGCCTGAGAATTATTTAAGATATACAAGTAAATTCAGTTTTATCACTAATACTATTATTATCAATTGCACTAATTAAGTTATCGTAGTTATCTTTGTCCATTGTGTCGGGGAAGTCCTTTCCCCATGTAAACAATTCAATAATTTAGGAAATTAAGATTTTTCTGCAATAATTTGCCACAATTATAATACAAATAGAAAGCTGCAGTTTTGTACCCTGAAAAATAGTGTATAAAATTTTTTTCTTTATTGTAAATAATGATAAAAAAAAATCTATTTAAAAATTAAAAAAATCTATAAAAATAAAAACACTTGCATTTTAAATGTATAATTTCACGTTACGATACGTAGATAAGAATTGTGTTACCTTCTATTTCTATTTATCTTTATTAATATTGAAAATATATTGAGCGAATCCTTAAATATGCCAAGTTGGAAATTTTCTCACACAAATAGCACAAGAATTTTTACATTTCTTAATATATTCCAAATAACATTTCATATACATTAAATGACCACAACCAGGATTCAAAATCATTCTACCACCACGCAATTCTAATAATTCTAAACATAATCACCTTCATCATCTTGTTTGCTTAACTGTGATTTTATGAATATTTCTAAAGGAGAAAGAGATTTTGGAGAATAATGATTATGTAAGGAATGTAATACGGAACGCGTATGTGATGATGATGAATATTGAGCTGAATTATTTGACATTATTGTCAATGAGTCTGAGGAAAATGATTGTGATGAATCGTCGAATAAGCTGATGAATATGATACGGAAGATGGTGAAGAAGAAGAAGGAATTTGATTTATTGCTGTTGTAGAGGAAGAAATTGTAGAAATTGTTGAAGTCGCTGATGATTTACTTCACGACTTATAGATTCCCAATTGAATTGATCTGTAGTTATATACCTTAATTGATGTCTGAGACTATGTCGTCGCGTATTATATCGCATATCTGATCTTGAATTAACAACATGAGTAGTATTAATAATTGGGACGCGACGATTATACATGTACTCAAATGGTGCATCATCGTCGTTATCACTTGATAAAGAATCTTCCAAATCAATATTTTCGCTGCCATTATCACTCTGATTATCTTCCACTACTGAATTCATTGTATTATTAATAATATTCGTAGTGTTATTAATAATAAAAGTTGAAGAAAGATCATTATTTGCATTATTGTTATTATTATTATTATTATTTATTGGTCTATTTATTTCGAGAGGTCTTGTAAAAAGATTGTTATGAAAGTTTTCGGAATTTTTTGAAAATTAATTTGTTCAGGATTATTAATTATTAATTGTCCCAAAGACGACTCAATAGAGTTTTGTGAAGATTGGGGCACTATTAGTTCATCAGTAGTTTTCATATTAGAAGTTCTTGATCTTGATCTATAATTGTTGCTTGAAAAAGGTTTATTGACAAATCTAACAAATTTTGACATTCGTAAAGAATCTAAAATATAATAATGTTCAAGTTGCAATTATTCAATATTTTTTGAAAAAAAAAAAAAATAAATTTTTTTTTAATATCTGATATTAATGATATGATATTAAAATTATGTTAAATGAAAACAATTTATTAATGCAAAGTGAATGAAGAAAGTAAATTAATGAAATTTTATTAATGAGAGATTAAAAAATTAAAAAAATTAAAAATAATAGATATTGTTAAAAAAGATATTACAAGCTTTTGATAAAATGATGGGAAGACGTCTCTTTTTTTGCTAAATATATGGTTTTTTTTCACAATTATCGTGGGAGAAAAAGTGAATCATTGATTCTATCATTATTCTCTACCTGCACCATATTGTATTAATCTTGATGCTAAAGGAAATTTGATGATAAATAATTAAAATTTTAATTTCCGAAAATGTTAAAGAGAGAGATTGGATCCGTATTTCAAAAAAAAAATGGAGAATATTTTTTTTTTGTTACTTTGACTTGCTATAAAAAGACCTTAATGGAGTGAAGTGAAAAAAATATCTATGTCATTTACGAGATCGCTTGAAAAACAAACGTAATTATATGTATATGGTTAGCATCATTTTTGAACAATGACACCGTCAATTAAATTAAATGGTGCTTCTTGGTACAATTGTTTGAAAGGAGGATCGTGATTCGATGATGTGATTGTTTTACATCAAATAAAAAGCGAGACTTGACTTTCCCAGTTTTATATAAAAAAAAATATCAGTGCGGAAGTTCTTCGCGTTAAATAAGTGAATAAAAAAAGTAATTTTCATATATTTCACTTCACGATTTAAAAACACTATAAATGAATCTAATTATTCTCGACACTTAATAAAAAAAAATTATAATTATTAAATTTTTACCAAAATAAAAATTATACCTATTTTTTTTTTCCTTTTCTTTTACTATCTTCATATTTTTCTATCTTAAATTATAAAATATAAATAATAATAACAAAATCAATACCTTGAGATTTTCTTGTTTATCTTATCTTAGAAAGATGAAGAACAATGGAAGCGACCAATAAAATTAAAACAATTGTCTCTTATCGTCGTTATTCATTGACTGTTTCAAAATGTTTATGCCTTTAAAAAAATAAATTACAAAATTTTTTGATAAAATATCTATTGTTCTAGATAAATATATTTTTAGATATTTTATAACATTCTAGTTATATAATATAACTTATGTAAAATAACAATATCAACCCTAATTCTTTACATTTCACCCTTGTTCTGAAATCTATCAATGAGAAATATGTTTTAATAAATATATTATTTGATAATGCATTAAATCAAGTGATCAATCAAGTTAATCGAATAAACAATCATCCCGGTTCATGGTATCCCAAAATATGGTTAGATTTATTTTTTTTCAAATAAATTTGTGTAAATTAATATTTATCATGAAAATAAAAATAGAATTTTTTAAGTTAATGTAGATTTTTCTCTTAGATATTTAATAACAATTATTAAAGCTTTATTTATTACAAAGAAAAATTACAAAAGTTTCAATAATTAATATTTGAAATTAAATTTATTTAGTCTCCCATAACTGATTTCTTTGATCAAAGTATTGAATAAAAAAAAAAAAATTATTTGTTATGAAAATATTATTAAAAAGGATAGTCACAACCTTATAGTTAATATACTATTAATAGCATTATTCAAGGGATTTTATTAAAAAAATATATTTTTTAAGCCACGAATAAGAGAGTAAATAAAATTAATAAGGTTTAATCAATTGTAAATGAACCCTGCGTCCAAATTAAATTCTATGTTCTCTAACATTTTAATTACACGACATTCATGTAATCAAATGCACGCATGAATGAATATACGTTAATTTTTAAGGATTGATTTTTGAAAAAGACAAATTGAATTCTTCTAAATAAACAAAATAAGGAAATGATCGATTATAGAAATAAGAAATATATACATATGTATATATTATACAATAATTTATAAAAATATTAAATTGGTAAAAAATTCGAAACAAAATCGTAAGGAAATAAGGGAGAAAATTTCCTTCAATTATGTTTATGAAATAAATAATTATGCGGATTTGATCATGACTAACGCCATTTTGACATTTGAAAAAAAAGATTCTATGAAAAAAAAAAATGGGGAATTTCGAAACAAAATAAATCAAAATCAAAAGGAAATGAGGAAAAAAATTGATTCTTGGGAACAAATGATTAATCAAAAACTTGATTTTAAAAAAAAACCCCAACACCATTTTAGTTAGCTAGTTGTTCTTTTCATATTTTAAATAATAATATTTTAGTAAGTTTAGATAATATTTTTGGTAATGTTTAGATAACATTTTGTGGAATTTTAACATTTTAATGATATTCAGATAATATTTTGGTTCTGCGCATCGTATCTTTATTATATATCTGATATATTAGATTAATTATAATGACTTTCTAGATATATTTTTCATTTTAATTATCAAAAGAAATTAATTTTATTAAAGAAATAACATTCTTTTGATCACCGATTTTTAATTATCGCGAAATAACACAATAAATTATTCAGTATATTCGGCTAATATATGATAATCGCGAAATACATACAAGTTTTAGTATTATCTACTACGAAGTAACCTGAAAAGGTACACAAAGATTTGAAACATAAATAAATTAATAATTTATTATAGAATTAAAGCAAGGAAGGAAATAATAAAATACAAATAAATAAATGTAACATAATTAATTTTCATTTATATTAATTTAATGAAAGGCTTAACTTTATTCCTTGTAGGGTATTCAAAATAACACTTCTAAATTGTCAATATAGTTAGTTTAGTTATACTAATTAAGTTTTTTAATTTTTTTTTTTCATTAATTATTATCTGCTATGGCTTACGTGATCACGCGTTTTTCATCACTTAACTGCGCCCATCGATATTGTTGACTCAAAATAGAATATATCACGTGTCAATATAAGTCTATGTTACCATACTAGTCATGAAACTAAATTTAGTGTTTGTTTCATTTAAAAATTCAAATAAGATTTAAACATTATTTGGTACTAGACCTTAATCCGGAAACAATTAGAATTTATGAGACAAAGCGAAAGTAATGAAATAATGAAAAAAAAAAATAAATTTAGAATATATTAAAGTATTTATTGTTACATTTATTAAAAAAAAAAATAGATTTATACACATTGTGTAAAATTAGAAATAAAAATTTTCATAATCTAGACTTTCTAGGAAACAATAAGGTTTATATGTTATTATCTTTGTTAACTATTATTTACAATTTAGTAAAACAAGTAAACAACGGTTAATATACTTGTCAAAGTACCCAGAAAACCTACAGAATGGATTTTCAAAAAGATGTTGATCATTGCCAAAGATTATTGGTTGCAAATATAGGAAGATTTTGTTTTTCTGGACACAAAAACAGTGAATGAACGCCCGAAAAACCCTTTGATAGGATAATCTAACAGGTTAAAAGATGCATGTTTAATGTATGCCATACTTCTAATTTGGTGACAGAAAATGGGATCTAAATTTCACAAAAAAAAATTTTTTTTTTAATCTTTATTATGCAAACTGTATTGAAAATTGTTATGCAAAACCACAACGACTTTCATTATTCATTGTTAAATTGGTTTTTTTTCTTGTTTTTTAAAAAAAGTGTGAATTGGAGATCATGTGACTCAAAGATTTGGAAAAATTTAAAAAAGAACATCTTAATCACTCAAATCAACCAATCACATTTAGCAATTTTGCTTATAAAACATATAAACGATCGATTGTCCTGATTTTATATTGTTTTATTTCTTAATTTTACACGTTTATCATATTTTGATATATTTAATAACCAAAGGGGTGAAAGACCAAAGTTTCCCTTGTATCTATTATTAGTGTTACTTTTTCAATATTGGTATATTTATTACATGCATATATTTATTTTATTTAACTCTTTTAATATAAAAAAAAGTTCAAAATTTTCTATAAAAAGCTTCACATCTCAACTTAAGAACTGTTCATTATTTGTAGACTCAGACTCCTATTATCTATTATTCCGAAGAAAATTAAGAAAATTACAAAATATTTTGGATATTTCTAACATAACTCCGATTGACATCATAATAACGTATATGGATATATAGCATCCAAAGTAAGGATAATTTCAAAGTAATAATTTTACTATTGTATTTTTTCGTGGCGCATGTGTTTAAGTAAGCAATTGTTAACCGCGTTTAGAAACAAAAAGAATAAAATTACAATATATATATATATATGTAAAGAGTTCATGAGAGGAAATTATATCTTTGACATGTAATATTTTCGTGTAACTATATAAGAGTAAAAATCTCAATAATTTAAAGATTTTTAAAAATATTAAAATCTTATAAATACCATTATCGTATTAAAGTGTATCTTATTAACGATAATTTATTTTAATTAAGGAATACAATAATTCAAAAATGTCTAAATCAAGATCAAATATCGAAAGAAATGCCAGAAGACGCGAGAAAAGGAGACAATGTTTAGTCAACGGTCAGAAATGTCCGCGTGCTCCAAATAGGTTCATTCTTTATAGAACGTGGCATCAAAACCACACATATAAAAATTCCCAAAACCCAATAGATATGCGATCGTTATCTAAAAAAATTGCAGAACAATGGAAAAATGAACCACTCAAAGTTAAGTCATTCTGGGACCGATTGGCCGCAGAAGAAAAGTTAAAAGCGCCTTACAGGACAACGGCGGACATACTTAGCGGATTGGAAATGTCTATCAGTAAACATTTGTCTGAAGATACTTCTATGACGTTCGTCAATGCCACGGTGTCATCACAAAAAAAAAATTTTATGGAAAAATCGTCTATCAAGGCAGAAAATGAAGTTCCTTCTTTTGTGTTTATATCCCCAGAATCTCCTCCATCGGTTCCAGAAAAAAAGCAGGATTCTCTTATATTTGAAGATCCAACTCTCAACACCCCTGATACTTATAAATGGGAAGAGATTACTTCACAGTCACAGTCACCTGAAAGTGAAATTTTAAGTTACGATTCATATGGATCGGACGACGAAGAAAATCATGGTTTCTCTTCTCCCTTTTATTATAATTTTACCGGTCCTCAAATTTCAAATCATTCGATTGACCCGATGTTAATACAATACAATACGAATTTAAATGTTTATTTAACTTCCCCTTATTCTTCATCAAATTATAAAGACGAAGATTTTACATTTGCAGAAGATGATCAATTATATCTTCCGTAAAGAAATTTCTTTATGTATTTTTTCTAAAGCTATTATTATCACTAAACCACAATTACGAATAACTTACGAATACCAATTTATATATGATCCCCTTGGACCCATGTATATATCTTATTATGTCATTTAACCTTTAGGGTTTAATTTTCTTTCTTCAGTTCATTGTTTCTAAATTCGTAAATCACATTTTATGCATATCGTACACACCTCATTCAAATTTTCCATATAATGTAAATTACATTTATCATCATTTTATGTATTACATCACTTGTGGTTTTGGCGATTGGTAATAATCAAAGCTCGTTTCTTACCTGATACCAAGATATTGGTATTGTGCTTTTTTGTCTATATTAGTAAGTTATTCCTTTTTGTTATCATTTTTTTTTAATTGTTTATTATTGTTATTGTTTATCAAATTGTTTTTTATGCATTTATGGATTTTTTTGGGATTGGGAGATTATTGTTTTTACGTAACAGTAGTTTTAATGGTAAAATCACCATTTACCATTTTTATTTTAAATTTTAAATTTTAAATTTTAATTTTTAATTTTTATTATTTTAATTTTTGTATAAAGATTATGATCATTTTTTTAAGGAATTTTTTGGAAAATCATTTTTTTAAAAAAAAAAATAATAAAATTAATTTTCTCATAATATCTTTTCCTCCTGATAGGTTATTGATTGATTTTTTTTTTATGTTGATAAATAATTTATTTGATCTGATTCTGGGTTTTCCATAGTTTTTAATATTTAGCAAACATGATTTGATAATTATGAAGTGTTAGTAAAGGTAAAACGAAAATGTATTAATAGAAAAAGAACTTATTGAGTGCATAGAGAAAATTAAAAAATAAAATTTTAAGTTTTGTTTTGTGTAGATCATCAGAAAATTATTTTCAAATAAGTTAAGGGGATTACTATTTATTGATACTTGTTGATAACTTGATATATTTAATTAAAAACTTGATTTTATTACATTTATTACACAATTCCCCTAAAAATATCAACACTTTCACATATTCATATGAAGGTTGTAACTAACAGGAAAGAATAATCGGAGGATCATAACTTGTTAAATTCTAGATAAAAAAAAAAAAGTCGAGGATTTATTTTTATTGGTATTATAATATTTAATTATAGAGAAAACTTCTATTAATTGGTGGTAAGACATTTTAAGATCACAGATGAACTTTTACCTGCACTATAAAGTACTATATCATTTTACTATAACACTAATGTTTTTTTTTTTTCAAAAAAAAAAAAATAAATAAATAGATAGAATTCCAGTAATAAAGAATTTTTATTTTTCTTTCGTAAACATTAGATTTTTCATGTTCAAATACGGTCGTGATTTCATCCAATTAAAGATATCAAACGATTGATTTGTTCATGGAGTTGAGATTTTCTTTATTTAATAGAATTGTTGATTTATCGTAATGACTCCTAGCAAGTTCATTTTCTAAGAAATCAATTACCACTATAATTTAATTATTTTCATTTTTGAGTTTTGTGATTTTTTTGTGAAATTCTCGAGTATTATCTGACATATTCCCGAAAATGGATGCGACAAATACGGATGATGAAGAACTATTGGAGTGACTATTCGGTGAATTACTTGGTGAATAATCTAGTAAATTATTATTTAGTGATGGTGGTGACGGAGGAATTAGAAGAATCAGAAAGTATAAGTGAATTAGGTCGTGACCTAGGAATTCGTGATGGAGATGATATAAATCTATTATTATTGGTTGTTGGTGATGTTTGTGGTAGAAGAAAAGTAAAGGATGATTATTAATATTAAGTGATGGAGGTAAAAGTTGATTTGATAGAGGGGTAAATGGAAGAGGTGGTTTAACTATAGTCATATTAGGTCGAATTCTTTTATTTTCCGAAGAAGAAATTGATAATTGTGAAATCGGTGTTTTTTCTTCTAATAAACAATCTTTCTTTTGTATATTTTTCGTTTAATTCCTTATTGATGATGAATTATTATTATTACAAACATCAAATTCATTTTTCAATTTCGTTAAATATTAAATTATATGTTTCTAAAATTTCGAATCTTGATAATCTTATAGTTTTTAATTGATTTATTTAATTAATTTAACAAACCTTTAACAAATAAAAGTTGTATAATAGAGTAAAAATACTCTTGGTAAATTCACGTGTGTTCTTTATATTTTAATGTTTTTAATATTGTTTTATTATTTTAATTTATTATTCTGTTTAAAAGATACCATTTTCCAGTAGAAGGAGAATTGAATGAACCATTTAAATTGATGGTGCATATTAACCTGTTAATCCAATGGCAATTCGTTCAGAGTACGCGTTTCTTTATTATATATCACCCACACATCCTGATTTGTTTTATTATATTTTTAATTTATATTTTATAATTTATTTTTTTGGCTTATGTTTACGGTGAATTATATATTTTATCAGTTTGGAAAAGTTGCTTATGTATGCATTTGCGCCATGATGATTGGTTCTATTGTACACACAAGGTAATTTATTATTATTACTTAAGATTTGTTTTTATTATTTTATAGGCGTAATATTACGTAATATTACATCATTTTTGACTTCGCTCGCGATTTACGTAACAGGGAGCGATCTTCTACTAAGGTATTTTCTAAGATGGATCGAAAGCCCTGGTTCCTTGCTACATGTCGATATATGTATCATTCCTATAGCTTCGATATTAATCGAGATATTCACGTTTAAAGTCGGACGTCCGTGAAATAATTTTACATAACATTACGACACTTTACGAAAATTTTCGTAAAATTTTCACAGACGTCCGACTTTGAGCGTGAATATTTTGATGAATATCGATGCTATAGGAATAAAACACATATCAATATATAACAAGAAACCAGAACTATCGATCCATCTTAGAAATACATTAGTAAAAAATCGCTCCCTGTCACGTAAATCGCGAGCGAATTCAAAAACGAATTTTTTTAAGCGTAAATTTCCGTAATATTTCAAAAATTTACGCCTAAAAAAATTTACTGATGACACCCCAAAAGTATATAAGAAGACTAGAAGAACATGGCTATATCGCTTTTTGTCAGTATAATGTATTAAATAAAAAGTTTTAAGTAATATTTATGCAACAAAAAAAAAGTGGCAGCACAATCGTCCTCTTTTCCAAAAGGGAAAAAGCTACTTTAGCAAATTCTAGTATTTATTTGTATGCATTTCTTAATTTTATCGTATTTTCATCTTTATTATTTTATAATTATTATATATTTTATTAATTTTAATTCCTTTCATTAGGTTCGTGTATAGAAAATCCACAGTCCACCATCAATAATAAAAATCAAATAATTTAATTTCATCTTTTGATTTAAAAATTTGTAATTTTATTTTATATTTAGTACTTTTGAATGTAATATATATATTATATCGTAATATTATTTATTTATTAAATGTCAACAAAATATGCAAATAATAATCTTTTTATTGAATAATATTATCATTAAATGTATTTTATTTTATAAAGAATAATTGCAAAAACATATCAGATATTATTCATGATAATAAACTAATGTATTAAAACTTTGTGAAATAAATAAATAAAATTTTCGTGTATTTATTGTTTAAATAAATCAATCTGTCCAAAAAAAGCTAGGCATTCTCATTAAATAATTATTCATTTAAAATAACGCCATATTAGTAGAATTTTAAGTGTAACGTATTATTATTTGTTTACTTTGGTCAGACGTATAGTGAATTATATTTAAGTATATTTTTTTTTTAAAAAAAAAAATGCTTCCCGTCTTCCCGTCATGAAACCCGTGTAACTGATTCCAAAGGGCATGGCAATTGTTTACTTAAAAGGAGAAAAGGTTTTTTTTTTTTTAACTAACGGAACTTTGAAGGTAAATGAACATAAGATTATTTTTATTTTTCTTAAAAAAAATCATATCTCCTTAATTTTTAATCAAAATTTAGAAACTAATACTGCATCTCTGTATTTTTATGTTTTTATAAATATAAGGGAAAGTAAGTTTGGCAAATACTTTATTGTTATTATCTCACATTCCCAATCAAAAAATAATATTCTTTTAGCAAAAAAAATACTATATTGTTATTATCTTATTTCTTAAATAAAAAAACATATTCTTTAGCAGAAAAACAAAATATGATCTGGCTCAAAACGAGATTACTCACTTACAAGACATAAAATGTCTCAGTTGAATGACTACTCAAATACAAATGCACACAGAGCCTTCAAAAATAACCAGCAACCCATGCAAAAGGCCAAGATCTGCTTAGAGTCACCAGTGATATCATCTCAGACTCAACAGGAGTTTGTTACCCTTCTGGAACAAATGCACACTAGAGGAATCAAAAAAAAAAGAAGTGTGGTTACCTGAAAAGACTACTTGTGCTACTTTGGATTCAAACTTGTAAGTGAATTCTTGAAAAAGGAGGACATGACTCAGTTCTTAGTTCAGCCAACAATAGCAAAGCTGAAGTTTGTAATTGCAATTATTACAGTGTTTGTGATGTGACATAATGGACCATGTTCAGTTGTCAATTGTAAAAGAAGAAATATACCATCCAAAAGGTTCAAGAGCTCCAAAAAAGAAGTGAAAAAACTTTCAGCAGCAAAGTGTAATGCATCTATCTTTATTCCACTCAAAATAAGCAACTGAAACTTAGAAAATGTGTGAAACAGCACAGCACAGCACAGGTCAAATACAAAAGAATAGGTGACACAAATAGAAATTTTGATTTTAGCTGATTTATAATATAAGATAAAATAGAACAGTTGATTTTAGCTGGTCTATAATATAGAAATTCTGATTTTAGCTAATCTATAATATAGGAATTATCATTTGGTACTGTAATTTTTTTGTATTTGACTAGTGTAATAGATATACAGTATCTTATTGTAATTGAAAAAGAGAAACAAAAAAAATTTTACATGTAGTATTTCTAATGAATTGACTTTCAATTAAATAAATCAGAATTTCATTTGAAATTTAATATATGGGTTACAACCTACCAGTATTTAAAATTCAAGGAACAATACATTAAATATTTTTTAAAATAACAGTTTTTGTGATCAACTCTAATTAACCTTCAAGTTTAAAAATTATTGATCTTAATCCAATTCATATTAGTATTTCAAATCAAATTACATAGATCAACTCAGGTTGATCTGACCTGTTAGGAGCACTACTTTAAATATTCTAAGTGAAATACAATATATGTTTTTAGTAGAGTATTATATATAATTTTTTTCAATGTTCTCTTAAATTAAGTCCAATACAAAAAAATTTATATTTATTAAAAAAATAATATATTTAAAATTTGTATTTTTTCATAATTACAGTAATGTAATAGAAAATATAAAGGAAAGAAATAAATAGTTTTTTTTAGTTATATGAAAACTTAAATTTTTTTTTTTGTAATTGAAATTTAATAAATTTTAAATGAAAATAAAAAGAAAAAAATATTGTATAATTTATAAAATGATATTATAATGAATGAAATATTATTTTTATATACAGTAAACCTCTCTACAATCACCTCCTGTATAATCATATTATATAAATTTTACTTATAAGTATATCTTATATAATGACCAATACTTAGTAATACTATATAAAAATTTCTCTATATAGTTATAATCATATCTTTTATTTTTAGTTTCTATAATATCAAGAGTAGTAGTAATATCCACAAATAAATTTATCTGTTACAGGTACAGATACAATTTAATAAATTTGTACAAATTAATACATAACAAATGAAATATGATTATAATACATTGACAAATGACCTTTAAAAAATATAATCACATGTATAAATTTCTACTTTGTAATACATATTATTTAATATACACCATATATTAGCTTACACAGATATCCATTTATATCTATTTATATCTATTAAAATACATAGTAATTTTATTCACTATTACTAATAGACCTTTTGAATTAATTTTATTTTTCAAAAGGTAAGTTACAACTAGTAACTTGTAAACAAGAAGAAATGTATTTACAAATTTGTAAATATAAACTTAACTAAAATTAAATGGATAAGAAATAATTTAACTATAAAACTAATAATAAAGAACTTAGGATTTGTATGAGTAATTATTTACTATATTAAAATAGCTATTAAATTCAAATAAGCAATTTAAAAAATTAAAGCTAAAAGTTAAAAATATTTATCAAGAAATTACAAGGTATTAATAAAAGTTTATTAATAATAATTTATATTCAAAAAATATAAATTAATAAGAACATAATAAAGTTTAAGTAAAAAAAAAATATATACAGTATTTATTACAAAATAAATTAATAATTCTATTAATTAAAAATATTATTCAATATTAGAATTAATTACAAATTCAATATAGTGAAATTTTATCTAAATTACAATTTTTAGATCTATTAAAATCTACTTTCGAATGGAAGAAAAATTCATCCTTTTTATAATATTTAACTTGGTCAAAAACTTGATTAGTAACTATGCCAATATCTTTGTCAACAATTATATCAATCAATTGACTATTAACTTTAATAATCAGTTGTTCAATTAGTTGGTCACTAAATTAGCCATTAATTTTGTTATTATGTATAGGTCAAATATAAAAGATATCCTATACCAAAAAAGAATTTCAATTTTAGCTAATTTATAATATAGAATATAATAAGACAGTTGATTTTACTGATTTTTAGCTAATCTATAGTAAAGGAATTATTATTTGATATAGTGATTCTTTTGTATTTGACTAGTGATGATCTATATTATTGATTTACATAATATGTACTACAGTAAATATAAATAATAAACAAATAATAATATAATACTAATATAATAATAAATATCTAACTAATAATAATATAAATATTAATAATAAAATAATAATAATGTATAATATAAAAATAATAATATAAAATAATAATAGAGAAAATCACATGTAATATCATGAATCACACCACTAATCAAGAGGACATGTTTGTAAAAGAATACTTTTAATTAAATTTTAACCAATAATTTGAAATCAAAATTGTAAATCACATGATAAAAGATAAAAGTGATAAATAATATTTATAATGGAATATAATAAATAAATTTATTTTTAATAAAATTAATTTTTTATAAATAATTTAATAGGTTCAAATCAGGTAATGTAGCAAAATTATTAATTAAATTAATAAATAATAATAAAATAAATTTAAAAAAAATAATTTAAAATATTTTTTTTAAATAATTACTTTTTTTCAACTTGTAATTGTTTCTGTACTAAATATTTTGATTAACTAAGTTATAGATATAACAAATTTCAAAGTAAACATAATGGAAAAAAATAAGTGTAACACTAGTCAAATACAAAAGAATTGCTATATCAAATGGTAATTCCTATATTATAGATCAACTAAAAATCAGAATTCTTATATCATAAATCAGCTAAAATCAACTGTTCTATTGTATTCTATATTATAAATCAGCTAAAATCAGAATTCCTTTTTATGCCATCTATTCTTTTGTGTTTGACCTGTGTAAATATTATAAACAAGTTTTATTAATTAATTAATTATCTAATATATTATTTATAATTTAACATATTAATTACTTTTAATTATAAATTATATTGTGCTATATTATACTTTCAGAAGAAGATTTGTTGTCTTGTAGATAATTGTTATTATAAGCTATACATGTTGTTCAAATTATTTTTGGCATAGTAAAATAATTTGAAATTTGGAACTTTTGTTATAGTGATTTAATAGTAATTTGGAATTTGAAGTTTTGAAAAATAATTTTGATAAAATATATATCATAAGCTAACTAAATAGTTTTGCAAAATTATCATGCATATTATTACCAGAATTTTGTACTCAAGAAATAATTAGACATGGTCAATAACATATTTGATTCCAAGACTGCTCAAGCTTTGTGTATATGGTCACAATGACATCTGATTTATACATGTCATCAAAATTATTTAAATTTAGTCAGATGTCAATTAAAATTATGAAAAAATTGATGTAATTGATGTAATTGATGCAATTGATGCAATTATTTGACACAATTACATAGCACAATTAAATATCAGTAATTGAGTTTACTTTTTATAATCTGTTTAATAAGGCACATGAGCATTTATGGTTGTTTGCACAGGAGAATATACAAGCAAAACTTGTGGATCCTGTGGTTATATTCACAAAAAAGAGGAGATCCAAGGAATGCGGAACTAAGCTAGTGCCAAATCTCAAATCCCAAATTATTTTACTATGCTGAAAATAGTTTGGGCAAACATGTAGACATTAATGGTGCTCGCTTTTGATACCTTACTAAAAAAGAGTCCAGCGAAGGGTGCCTATTCTAATTTAGGTTGTATCCAGGTTACACCAATAATATGATAGCTAATCAATATCAAGTTATATAGTGAATTTTTTTCTTTCGCTATTCTTTATATAGATTCTTCTTTTATTAATAATAAATAAACTGTATGAACTCTTGAAAAAAAACGCTATATATAATAATTTATTTTAAATAAAAGGAAGAGTGATGACAAAAGCCGAATCTGGAAATGATAAAGTTACTTTTAAATTCAAGATTCCTGCAAAGTTAGCGCAGGAACAGAGATCTATATATACTCCACCATTTGCCACTACACCCGATATGTTTTGGCAGTTGAAATTTCACCCGGTATTATAATCGTTCTCCAATCTAAACAAATATTGTAATAATAATAATAATTTCCTTTAAAAAGAAAATAATAATTTTCATTTTACGCTACATTGACTAAGCATTTTTATATTGGTTCATTTTTTATATAAAAAAAAAAAAATCTGATAGGAAAGTAAAGAACATAAAGATTATTGTGCATTATGGTTAATTGCTTTGCCTAATCCACAAGAAAAATATTCGGCAGATTTATGGTCAACTCGTGCAGAATATTCAGTCACTTATTTCATGAAAAATCCAAATGAAAAATTAAATTTTGGAAAATTAGAAAATTATAATGCTAGATCTCCTGTATGGGGTATGTTTTAATTATTGAAATTCTATTTAATTATTAGTAAATTAATTAATAAATTAATTAATGAAATCAAATTAACCTAATTAGCAAATCAATTAATTAATAAATTTTATTTAGGGTTCACAAAATTCTGTAAAAAAACCAGATTACCACAAGAGGGAGAAATAACAATTGGTGTGAGATTTAATAAAGTTCAATTTTCATCTGAACGTGTTTCAACTCCACTTCCATTGTCACAATTCCCTTCAGAATTAAGTAAAGCCTGGAAAGCTGAATTAAATCAACCTGAAATATCTGATGTTCAATTCAATTTTTCAAGTTGTGATGGAACGGAATGTTCCACATTATATGCAAGAAGTTCAATACTTTCTGAACGATCAATATATTTCAAATCAATGTTTCAACAAGGAAAATGGTCAGAATCTAAGAAAATTAATAAGAATGGTTCAATGGGATCATCAATAGGTAGATTACTTTCAAAGAAATCATGGAATGATTGGTCATTGGGAAAGTTTAGAAAAGTTGAAGATTTATTGGAAGTTTACAAAAAATTAAAATATCCAAATATTTATAATACTAAAACTTCTGATGCGTTAGTTTCTAGTTTTTCCCCAGCAATGACTATATTATTAGATTCTACAAAAGATTTAAAAACAAAGTCGTCAATAGAATATAATAATAATAATAATAATAATAATGACGATGATGATGATGATAATAATAATAACAATAATAATAATAACAATAATAATAGTAGTATTAGTATTAGTTCAAAAACTTCAAATACTTCAAATAATGAATATTCAGAAGAACCATTAACGCCAATGAAATCAAAATCAGAAGAATTTCATCATTCAACAAAAAATTCTCAAGAATCTTCTTTAGAAACCTCATTAACAAATTTACCAAATTTAACTTCAAAAACTTCATCATCATTACAAAATATACAAAATAATATAAAAATTAATAACGATATTTTAGAATTATCATCTTTACCAAAAAATATAGTTCAAACGACTCCTCTTGATCTTAATGTACCCAAAAAATATATTGTTACCGTAACGGATTGTCATCAAGAAACATTCAAAGCAATGTTACGATTCCTTTACACTAATCAGATTGATTTTTATCCATCATCATCACATCGTAGACCAATTGATATTTTCATAATAGCCGATAAATATTTGATAACAGATCTAAGGGATAGAGCTAAAACTAAAATTCTCAAAGATTTAACACCTGAAAGTGCGATCGAAATGTTATTTAGTTTTGACAAATGGTTATGGGAAGATTTGAAAGAAGTTATAATGACATATGTGATTAGAAAATTTGATGATGTTAAAGAAACCGAAATCTTTAAAGAACTTTTCACCAAGTTTGAAGTTTATGAAAAGGAAAATAATGAGGATAAAGAAATTAAAGATGACAATAACGAAAGATTTGAGACGGATAATAATGAAGAAACTGAATCTTGTGAATATGATGAAGTAACATTATATAAATTAGAATTATTTAAAGAATTAATTGAAAGAGGTGAAAAAGGAAACAATAAAACGAGTGAGACCAAAAAGAACGATGATAATAAATAGAGAAATTACCTCTCAAAAAAAGATCTGATAATACAGTAATATATAATTCTTATAAACCTTATAAAAGAAAATTTTGGTTTCATATTTAAAAACAGAAAAAAAAAACTATAAATTAAATGACTGTAAATTATTATTCAATCCTAATGTGAATAAAATTCACAACTAGATTCCAATTTATATAATTTATATTTACGTTAATAATTATTTATTTTATTAAAAAAAAAAATCTTTATTTTCACGAGATAATTGGCAGGGTAATGGGTTTTTTTAGTTTTCATTAGGTGTTTCGGGTAATTTTTATTTTAAACTTTAAAAAAAAAAAAATTTAAAATTTACATTATAATACTCTACAAAAGTAAGGTAAAAAATTTTTTCCTGTAAATGAATATAATAAATTTTATTGATTTAAAATAATTTTTTTATAAAAATTTACAATTTTTTTTTGTTGCTTTTATTATTATTATAAACAAAGAAAATGATTTTACATTTACATTAAATACAGTAAGAATGTTTAGAAAGGAAATATGTATACATTCAAATAAAATATAAAAAAATATATATATAAATCTGAAAGGAAACTAAAATGACTTTAAGACGACGCGATATATTAAGAATTATTACTTGATGGTAAATGTTATGTAAATGTTATGCTAAGCTGACAGCGGATTTTAGCCTACTAAATTCTTCAGCCTCGATGACCTTTAAATATTTAGAAAATTAAGAAATGAGAAATGAGAAATTCGTATTAAGCTAATATTTATATAAAAAAAAACAATGATTTATAAATACCTTTATATGAGATAAATCTGATTTTGATGGAGCAAATCGATATATTTCCCTTTTGAAAATAAAGTAAAATAATAAGAACGATGGCGTAAGTAACAACGAAAAGAACGAACGGAAAGGATGAAAAGAACGAACGGAAAGGATGAAAAGAACGAACGGAAAGGATGAAAAGAACGAACGGAAAGGATAAAAAGAACGAAACGAAACATTATGAAAAATATAAAATAAAATAAAAAATTACAAGTCAATATACTTACTCGTCAAGAATTTCTTCACCAAGGACACCCCAATTACCATTACCAGCTCCAGATTTTTTTAATGGGCTACGAATATCGGACAAAGCACCGCTATTATTATTATTTTTTCCGAATATAATAAAATATAATAAAATCGAAAAATAAGTATATAGAATATGAAGCCAAAAATTTGAAAAATTCCTTTATACATACCGTTGAAAATGTTTTTCATGGTTGGGAATAACGCTGGTTTTCATGTTTAAATTTAGAATTTATTTAATTTAATTAATTTATTTGGATTTATGGAATTTATAATATTATTTGAAATAATTAATATGCAGTGTGTGGAAAGTATTAAATGAATTGAAAGAAATGCTATTAAAATTTTTATTTGTTTGAGAGGACTGTGAGAATCACCTCTTTATAAAGTTTTTTCCCAAGAAACCATTTTTAATATTTAAAATATTTAAAATATAATATATTTATTATTAGTACTCGAGATTTCTAGAAGATTCAGATAGATTTAAGTAGGATTAATATAAAAAAATGCGTTCACGAATTACTTTAATTACTCCAAATCATTGATCATATGGATAACTTTTTTCATTTTCTCACACAATCTTCCTAAACAGTATAAATTATTAACGTAGTGGCTGAGGAAAATTTACTATTTACAAACTTAATTACAAGACAATTGGGTATGATATTTGATGCATATTTTATTGGTATAAATTTTTACCCCATCAACATAAAGTATTGTCTAAACACATTTATTAATGAACAATTGGCAAAATGACGTACAATATATTCAAAATATAGATCAACCTGTTTTATCATTTCATTCTACTAAGAAAAGAATTTCAAACATGACTCATAATTACAAAAAAGTAAAAATTGAAGAATATCTCGATGACGTAAAATATGATCTGGTGATCTTGTGATCTTGTGAGAAAAAGCTGTGTTTTATTATGCAAGAATTTTGTTGTTTAAAGTTCATCAGGTGATTAAAGAAAAAATGATATTATATTTTATTTGTTATATTTTCAAACAAGGTTACAATTCCTCCAGAACGTTCCAAGTCATTTAATCTTAACTACATCCATAAAATATTTTTTTTTTGCCGAGCAACGAATAGTTAAAAAAGAAATCGATACATCAAGAATTGATATCTTCATGTATTTATCAAACGTTGATTATCATAATCATATGACCAAATACAGATTAAGATTTTCCGGTAAAAATTTGTCATCTGTGTCACACCTTTTGAATATCAATTTTATTTTATTAACTTTTTTTTAGAGTAATCATTTCCAATATTCATGTTGTATAAGCTGTTGTTTAAATTTATGAGAAATATATTATTTTATTTTTTTATATATATTATTACATTAATGAAATGCAGTTGGATGAAATATGGAAATATTTTCTAATCTTTGATATTCAAGAATAATATCAGGATCTGTGATGAATGTTGATTAATCAAGATGAGATATTTGAATATTGTTTCAGTTTGGATATTTACTAAGAGCAACATATACTTGTTCAGATGAAAAAATGTTTTCATCTAATGCAAGACATACTTTTGATAAAATAAGACCTTGTATAATTGAAGCAAAGTAATTTTGTATAGGAAATTGAATTCTGTAACAATTGTATCTATCAATTTCAAAATAATGAGTATATCTATAGATCTGAATATCTATTATTGATCCTTTAACTAAAAATGCTACCCTAACAAATTAATCTATAAGATTAATATCTGTAATAATTTCCATTGTTCCATTGCAAATACCATATTCTATTAAAGAATTATTAAGGTACATAATATATGTATCAGGTTATAAACAGATAGAAAAAGGTAAATTTGTTTTTGATTTGAAAATTTGTTCAGAATTATAAGTATCCCGTAATTTAGAACTTATTGAATTTGATACTCTTGAAATTAAAAATTTGTTATTTGGAACAGGTAATAAGTTACAAATTATTCTATTGATTTGTTGTGCACTTTCTCAAAAACCTATAATATGTATTATAAATGTATCAAAAGTTCAGAAACACGTTGTTATAATAAATTCCATGTTTTAAATGAAATATTATTAATCAAATTCTTCTAACATGCTATAAAATTCTGAATCATTATTTTAACATTGATTTGTTCTAAGAAATAAAGGATAAAATAATTTTCAAATGTATACTTTGAATATAGGTTGTCTTGTAACAGGTGGAAGTTGAGCAAGATCACTGACTACAATTATATTAATTTCACCAAATACATTTGTATTATTATATAAACTTGCAAAAATATTAGAAATAAAATTAAATAGTTTAACTAAAACAATTGAAATTTCATCAATTATAAAAGTATCAATTTTTTTTAATTGTTTAATAAGTTTATGATTGGAATGAGCTCATATATGTTAACTTCTAGTACTAAAAGTAATTTGTAATTCTGAATAAATTATTTGGCCATTAATATTTTGTATAGTAACAACAGTAGATGATAACAATAAATAATTTACATGTCTTTAATCAAGTATATTTTTAATTAAATTAATCATATAAGATTTTTTAATTTCAGCAGATCCAGTAATAAACTAATATAGCTACTTAATTTCATCTGATAGACTAAGATACATATTAATTATTGATAATATATTATATTAATTATGAGAATATTCAAGTATAACTGTTTCAAGAAAAATAGATAGTAAAATTTTTAAATTTTGTAATTGAATATTTATAATATTGAAAAGATAAGGTAAAAGTTGTTTATTTAAAAAATTCAAAAGTCAATTAAGAATTTTAATAAATCTATTATCTAGATATATTATATGTGATTGATATATTTATTTAGTTTAATTTTGTAAATTATTTAAATAGTTTAAAAAAAGTGATAAAAATTTTTCACAATAAGTTTTATTAGGTCCATTTTTATAATCTGATTTATTTCTAACTAGAAGTTTTAATAATAATTGTTGATAAAAATATAATTCTCCATCATTAATTTTTAAAAATTGATATTTAATTATTATATTTTTATTACATAATTTGATTATTTAAATTATTATGATATATTTGACATGAGGTTGTAATTAGTGAAAAAGGAAAAATTATATATTATTTATAATATTGAAAATATATTAAGTTATTAAATTCAAAAAAATTAGGTCATGCTATATATTTCATTATTGTATCATCATAATAGTGATTTTTATTATCTTCATTAATTATATAGATAGATAATATTAGATGTTGTTACTATTTTTTTATATCCTCTTTGTTGTCATTGCAAGTTCACTCTTGTTCCTATCCATCATATCCCATTATCTTTAATTCTCATCTATATAATTTTTCTTTTAATTGTTTCTACCTCCTTCTACTCCTTTTTCTCTTTTTCTGATATTACTTATCAATACTTATTACTACTTACCTTTACTTATCCATTTATCTTATATTATCTACTTCATTTTCATCTTCTCTACTATCTACTCTGTCCTAAATTCATCTTAAAAATCTTGATTCTTTATTCTTTTTTTCACCTATCTTTATAAATTCTTTTAGCTACACCAGTTATGTGTCACGTGTATACATGTTTCCAAAATTAATTTTGGATTTTTGAGATATTTCGACTTTTTGTGATTTATGTAAAATTTATTCTATATATGGAAGTAAAAAAAGTACCCAGTTATATGTATCTTTAATCAAAGAATAAATCTGGATGGTCAAAAAATTTCGGGTTTTAAGTAAAATAATTTTGTCTTCTATGAAAAACTATTTCGACTTTTTTTCCCGAAATTGTAATTTCGGGGCTCCAAAATAATTTTACGTGCAAGTATAGTCACGTGACTTCTGATATACTATTAGAAAATTTTTGAGGATAAATATATCTGAATAAATTTTATAATATGCAGATATATGCAGATATATTTGAAATATGTAAATTAATATGTGGGTGATCAAATATATCCAAATATATATTTGCAAATTTATCTGGATATATTGCAAATTTATGTGAATTTATTTGATATGCGAATTTATCTGGATATATGTGAATATTTAATGTGGATAAATACGCAGGTAGTCGAATATGATATTCAAATTAATTTAAGACAAATATATCTGAATATATTTGCTATTAAAAATTTTCTGATATACTAAATATAAATTCAACCTAGTGGTATAATTGGAGTCTAATTAGACTCCAATTATATCACTTAGTGTGAATTATAACCATTCCATGTAATGTGATTCATTTTTTAGGCCACACTCGAAAATGGTTCATTTCAAAAAATTGGTCACATGGGAGTCAAACACATAGTGCCTTAGTGAACGTAGCTGATTTCATAAAGTTGGTCATATTCGAGTCAAGCACGTAATGCCCTAGCTTTCTGACTGATCTCACTGTCGTCATGTGATTTGATAATAGAAATTGGTCACCATCGTCAGCAGCGTGATATATTTTTTAGGTCACGCACCAAAGTGGTGCATTTTATATATTAGGCTACATGTGTAAAAATATATCTGACGATACATTCAGTCACGTGTCATCATTTGTGAAGACTGACAGTGAAAGTATTTGCTATCAAATATATTTACTTCTCTACCTCATTATCAAATAATTCGTATATCTTGTTCATAATTTCAGATCGGTCAAGAATATACTACTATTCTCTTTTCCCATTACCTACTTGTTTACATCTAATATCAATTAGTATGAACTATACTTGCACGCAAAATTATTTTGGAACCCGAAACCCGAAATATAAATACCTCGAAATTGACCCCGAAATACCATTTCAAAATTTTGATATTTCAAAATTAAAATGGGAGTCGAAATTAAAAATAAAAGTCGAAATTAAAAT